CACAAATCTCCAACAACTGCAAGATGCTATCCTATCAATATGGGCCAACATTTCTAAAGAATGCTTTCAGCACCTTGTTGAATCAATGCCACGTAGAATTAAGGCAGTTCTGAAGGCGAAAGGGGGTCAAACACCGTATTAGTATGGTGTTCCTAATAATCATTTAGGTGAGTGTATATGGTAAAAACTATGTTCTGTCAAAAGTACAAAGCTACATGTAAAGGAAAGACGGGAATATTTCTCCTCCGAAATTCATTGTAAACTCCGTAAACACTACAATAAGAAGTTAATTTGTATATTTTGTAGAAATACATATGTTTTTACTCCACTGTTTTCTTGTCCAAAATATGAAATAAAATGGAATGCCGAGAATATTTTATCGAGATGAGGTTGCGTATTTATTTTGAAGACGGACTACCTGTAAAACTCCACTCCTAATCATTTTAAGGAGTGACATCCTGTAAAACTCTACGCTCCATTTCCGGTTGAACTCCACTTCCTGTAAAATTCCACGCTCCACAGCAGCTGCACCAAAACTGCCCGAAATGGGTTGACAGAGAGACTTCAGGGATTTTGAGTCATTCTGCGCTGCAGATGGGTTAATTGCGTTAAAAAATTTTAATCAGATTAATAATGATGATGGATTAATCCGCGTTAACCCGTTAATTTTGACAGCCCTAATCCAGACATTTACCACTCACTTGCATTAGCTTTAACTTTCTAATATGCAATAAATGCATAGCTTTCTTTTGTCGGACCCATAGAGAATGGAGTGGCATGCCAAGTTTAGGAGGTGATTATTAAAATGCAACAGTGAAAATTTTATCAAAATTATCTAGACGATTGAAATGAAAGAGGAGTGGCCTTCAGAAACTTATATAAAAATAACGTCTTGATGTAGTGTACTGTATGCACTGATGCCATGTTTAGGAGTTCATTATTTTACAATGCTGCAGTACATTATTATATAAATCAGCATTTACACTCAGTCTCATCTACTAATGGCAGATTATCTAGACGTTTTGAGATAAAAGAAGAGGAATGTCCTGAAATGAGTTGAGGCCATGTATTCAGTAATTTGTATGTCAATATTGTTTTTAAAAAAGCGAGTGAAAACTGCCACCTATCCTGGCGGCACAGCGCTACTTTGCAAGACATTTAAGGTGGAACCGAAATCGCGAATATAAGTAGCTGGTGAATAAGGAGCCAACTTCAGCTTCGTCGGCCAAAGTCCGAACTAGTAGAGCAAAGCGGGCTTGATATCACGGATATCTATAAATGCTCAAACGGCTTTCCCATATGTCTTCCGCGTACGTGATTTGCGTGCTAGTATAACAGCTTGACCGACAGAGGCGGTGTCTTACAAATATATTCAAGTACATTCGGTGTGACAAGTTCTTCGTTCTGGCAATGACAACAACATAACATCGGTATTTGAACAGCAATCGAATCTAGTTAAACATCTAGTTAGCTGTTTTGACGTAGTAAGAGGAATAAGTTCCGAGAGAACAAAGTACGACATTATTTTTTATTTAATTAAAATATATTTAGATGTACGTGTTAGCGTAATTGTTTATACGGGGTATACCCAATAATCGATTAATTTTCACTTTTTAAAATTATGCAATCAATATTTATGCACAAAACCGGGTAGCATTACGGTTGATGTGCTGCTCACGTTAATTAAAATTCCTGCGTGTCCTTTGTATTTAGTTAGATAAACGTAAACATCTAGGTCGTGATCTTTTCGACAGTACCGGGTGGCGATATAGTGAAACCAGCATGAATTCAGCGATGACAAGCAGAATTAAACTAAGCGTGGCCTACGTACTGCGAGCGGCCAGGACTGCGTGCGGGACGCTTCCTGCTTCTGTACACTTGCAGCACAATTCTTACGGCAGACAAGACTGTCTGAAAACAGGCACTAAACACGATTGTTCAGCAATGGATAAAGGAAGAGGATTAATATTCAGACAGGTGAGTTAATTTTACTGTTCCCTGAGTTGTAAAACTAATGACTGGCTCTTCACAAATTTTGTAATTTGCTATAGTTTACTGCTATTTTGCTGCTCTGTGTGTGTGTGTGTGTGTGTCTGTGTGCGCGTGTGTGTGTGTCTGTGTGTGTGTGTGTGAGAGAGAGAGAGAGAGAGAGTGTAAAATTAAGGATATTCAAACAGTACAGTGTAAAATCAATATCATAATTATACATAGTCTCGTATGCAGTTTTCGTATATTATCATTATAATCACTAGCCGTAATTTTAAAGCTACCTCTATTTAGTAAGTCCATTTTTACTACTTCTCTGTATACGACAGCAGTTTGCTACGTATATTTTTGGTGCCAGGTAAAGCTGTAAGATTTAACAACTAGTAGGTGGTTATTTAAGTGGTACTAGACGGTTCAGTTGTTGTTAACTTAAAATTGGTTACCTGAATCAGACACTATTCCTTCATTTGAAAGGACCATCTCAGCTAACCGAATTAGTTCAATATTGTGTGGAAAGCCGTCTCTCTATATACCACTATACTCATGTTATTCTTCATAATGTTTCAGCTATTTGAAGCTACCAGCAGTACCTACACATACCTGTTGGGAGACCTAGAGTCCAGGGAGGCAGTTCTCATTGATCCTGTGTTGGAGACAGTGGACAGAGATGTCAAACTGACCGAGGAATTAAGTCTGAGTCTAAAAGTGGCTGGTAACTACAGCATTCACTGGGATGGGCTATATTCTGCAGTGTGGATGTTTTCTAACTTAGAACTGCTGTTGAAAGCATGTTTCTTCTAAGAGCTGACAAAGCAGTTACTGGGTTTGAAATGAGGAATCTGAGACTGGTAAACTTTAACTATTATATTTAATGTTACTCATTTTCTTACAATTCCAAATTAAATTCTCTTAATGATTTCTTTTGTTCCTTTGTTCAATTCAAATACCTTTCCTTGGTTTCTCCTTTCCATCCCATATTTACCATTTTTCCCATCCCTTGTCCTGCTGTTTGCAGATTAGCATAATTGTCCCTTTAATTATTACACTATTCTTGTGTTTTTATTTTGTCTGGTTTTGGTTTTATACCAAATTTGGTTATCAAAAGTCTTATTTTTCTAACTGGGACTATTTCTGCAATCAGCAAATCATGTTAGCATAATTTTGTGATATTTAGGCTTTCTGTTCTTCCTGTGTATGTGTGACGTGTCCTGTATTCACTGCCTTCCAGTCAACACCCACTGCCATGCAGATCATATTACTGGCACTGGTATTCTGAAAAAGAAGCTGTTTGGGTGTAAGAGCGCCATCTCTCTGCACAGTGGAGCCATGGCTGACATCCAGCTGTCAGAGGGAGACTGCATCACCTTTGGGAAACATGTGAGAGGAAAGGGGGGCATTCTGTTCCATAAAATCAAAATACAATGTATAGTCCTTTAATGAGTAGAAGGATGGCTTTTTGGTAACATCTGAAAATTATTTTGATTTAACATTTCCTGCAAAATCCTCTGACAACAAGAGAACCTGGTAAATTGTTCCCCAGTTTGACAAAACTGAGCACTGACTTATTAACCTCATAAACCAAGATCTATTCTCCTTTTCACATAGAGTCTGGTTGTACGAGAAACTCCAGGACACACAGACGGATGTGTGACACTTGTCCTGAATGACCAATCCATGGCCTTCACTGGGGATGCCTTGCTCATCAGGGGCTGTGGCAGGACTGACTTTCAGCAGGGTACTGAGGTCACCTTCCCTCCTCTTTGCTATCTGTTCCCTTTCTTGTCTCTCCTTCTATTCGTCTATATGTTGTAATATTTACAGACTGATAACTTGCAGCTGCCAGTAGCCTCTGCATGTCATTGTGCTGTATGTAAGGTGACTTTGTTTTTCTCACGGTCCCTATAGATATTTCTCCTTTATTCCTCATTATTTTGAGTGTTCTTATTTTAATTGCTGTTGTCCAGATTTTATCTGTCGACAAAACATCTCGGAGTAATCATTCAGTGCTTTGTTTTTCTTATTCTGATCATATTTCACTTCCTTCTCTAAGGCTGTCCCCAAAAACTTTACCAGTCAGTCCATAAGAAGATCTTCACTTTACCTGGGCACTGCCTCATTTATCCTGCTCATGACTACAAAGGTACTGAATAATGTGCTTTTATTCTGTTTTTACAAATCAGGACCATATTTAGTAGGGGTGTAAATCACAGCTTTCCTCGCGATATGATACAGTATCGATTCCTTAAGCCAACAGTTCGATTTTTTTTGATACATCAGAAATTCCCTTGATACGATTCGATTCAGTTCGATACTGGGGATAATAGTCGAAATGATGAAATTTCACACTATCCTTTACATTTCAATGGATTAAAAAAGGCAAATATAATTAGCATTTTATCATATTTTATTGGGAACTGTAAACAAAATCTAGTGTAGCCAAGTATGTTCCATAAATCAAGCAAAATAAAGTGCAATAATGTAAAAATAAAAACTTTGGATGGATGTAGATTAACATGGTGAATAATTTTTATTTTGAATCAAGTCTTCTCCAGACAAATACAAAAGTGTAACAAAAAGTATGTCCATAACTGTCATGACCTGCTCGTATGACCCTCTCGTGTGCGACGCCCCTCATTAACTTCACGTGCAATCCTGATTGTTCCCAGCTGTTTCTTATTGCTTCATCTAGTCCTGTGTATTTAAGTCCACGTCAGAGTCTGTTGCCCAGATCTGTCATTGAAGTTTTCCCCGTGTTGTGTGCTGTGCTTGCAATAACCCCCCCCCCCGTTTGTTGGATTTCCGTCTGCCTGACCCTGATTCCTCGTTCCCTGCTTGCTCGCCCTACGCTGGGATACAACAATAACAAGTTAAATAAAGTCAAATAAAAAACATTGCATGGACAGATGTAGAATGAGGAACATGACTGACTTCTGCGGTGAAACAAGTATGTCAGTATTCTTCTTTGAGAGGTTTTTTTTAAAGAAAAATTAAATGGTCAACGTGTTCAGGAGATTGTGTGCTCTGAGCGTAGCGTCCTATGTCACCTGCCGTACTAAACACACGCTCTGAAGGTACGCTAGCTTGCGAGTTACTTATAAATGACCAAGTCAGAATGATCTACTGTTATGATTTCTGGTTGGCAAACATGCAGGAAGCGGGAAAGGACGAGGCAGGTAGGCGAGGATGCAGGAAATGGGGTTTTATTAGGGAAAGACAGGGCAGACGGCGATTAACATCTATGACGGATCTGGGGAAAACGGCCTCACATGCGGACTAAATACACAAGACCAACCGAAATAACAGGAAACAGGTGATCACAATCGGGGTAGTACGCGTAGGTAATGAAGGGGCGTGGCACACACAAGGATCGGACGAGCAGGTCATGACATCTACCTACTATAAAAATGTAAAACATATATTTATGTATAAAAAAAATTTAGTATTCTTTAATATTATTATTATTATGATTATTATTATTATTATTATTAATTTCCCTTTGGGATAAATAAAGTATTTTTGAATTGAACTGGGATTTTAAGTTCCTTCACCTTTCTATTTCTCAGCTCAATTTTCGGAGGGAAGTTAATGTCGTGGTTTTTATGAACAGTCCAAAAATGCCGCTCCTCATTTCCCTTCTTCGGAATACCAATGGTACACTGACAGATGAGGCAAATGCACTTCGAATATGACATGGTGAAATAAACATCCTCATTCCATTCATATGGAAGTGGTCGGTTTTTGGCTTCTTAATTGGTCCAGCTCCCCCATTCATTTTTATACCCTTTCTTAAGTTTAGTAGAAATAAATTGGAGGCTAACTAGGCGACTCGGTAGCTTGCAGCAGCTGGCGCGGTTGAACGCGTCATCCATCCTCTATTTTTTATGCCATATGATCTACCCACACTACCTTTGCGATCGACCAGTAGATTGTGATCGACCAGTAGATTGCGATCGACGTCTTGGGCACCCCAGGTGTAGACCGTGTATACGTCGGAGTGGATCATGAAAACAATACTGGAACAGGCCAGAAAATAAAAACGCATGTATCGATATTTATGCGGTCACATCGCTGCATCGGATTGTTTGCCGTTGAATCGATATATCGATACAAATCGATGTATTGTTACACCCCTAATTTTTAGTAACTTCTTGGAGAAGTGAAAATTAAAGGGAGGGTAAAGTAATGAGGGTGGTGGGGTAGGCCTAAAAATTTTTGGCAGTTATCTGTATACAGTACATTGGTCTTTCTGCACTTGTTTTCTGGTTATGGTCTGGAAGTGAGAATGTAAATCGGTCTGGACATGCACATTTATTGGTTTCATAACAGTCAGTTGAAATGCAATGTTTAGCATATCTGCAAATATCTTCAACATAGACATTTTCTTTGTATTGAGTGTCATATTTTTTTCCAGCCATTTTGCTATTAATATTGTAGTCACTGGCTCCCAAAGGGTTACTAAACACAAATGTTTGGCATTTTATGTTATTACAAAGGTGTTATTAATTAAAAAAACTTTTTAATTTAGAAGAGCTGATTCAGAACTATAACTTGGGTATCAAATTATTTCTACTTGAAATGAATGTTTTACCTAACTACTGGTAGTGTCTAATGCGATTTTTTTATTTGCTTATATATATATATATATATATATATATATAGTAAACAAATGAAGTAATGATTTTTGTTATAAAACTAGTATATTACGCAATATTTTTACTGCATTAAGCAAGTATCCCAAGACATATTATGAGCATTGTAAAACCTAAAATTACACTACCATATAACAAAAGCAGGATTGATAGGATAAATACACAGCCTTTATGAAGTACAAATAATGTATGTACAGTGTTGTTTCACTAACAGAAAGAAATCAGAAGAGGATTTATTTCAGTTAACTAAAACAGGTACTAATGTTGGTCTTTTGTAAAAGTGGAGTAAAATTAATTTTGGTAAAGCAGGGGATACCTGTATACTGTACAACATAAGATACAACATCAAACACATTTAACTAAACTTCTATAGTGGCAGTGCAATTGGTTAGTTTGCTTGCTGCATGTCATACACATGGTAAAATACATCCACTAATGTACACTACGTCTGCTTCGGACATCTCCCGATAAAATTTATTCAGGCTTTTATGGGACTTCGGACATAAGTATGATTGGACATTACTCGATAGGACATAAGTCAATGGATGACCGTACACTGTTTAATTACTGAATGTTACTGAGTTTAGCTATATATTCATTAATGTGTTTATCCATTTAGAATGTTGAACAAACATGAAGTATCTCTAATAAGATCTGCCTCTTTCTGTACCTATTATATACTGCACTTAACCACCATACACACTTATGTTGAAGGTCAGATGGTGTCTACTGTGGATGAGGAAAGGAAATTTAACCCACGGTTGACTAAAACACAGGAGGAATTTGTAGAAATTATGGATAATCTCAATTTGCCCAAGCCTGGAAAAATAGGTATGAGATTGTCTTTATTAATTCTCTTTACCTATTGTCTTTATTAATATTCTTTACCTATTGTCTTTATTAATACTCTTTAGCTATCATACTACTTTTGGTCATGTGTTTTTAGTTAATAGCATGACAGAAACATGAGCATGAGTCTGATGAAAGTTTGCATGATAGCGGTCTGTAAAAATAATGACTAAAAAAATGAAATTGAATTCCTGGTCATGGTTGATACCAGGATAAATTTGTTTAAGAATTGCAAATATAAGCAAGTACAATATTGCATAAAAACAGTATGAAAAGTTGTGGTTGTGATTTGCACTCAATTTATTGTAACTAATGTAAATCTTCATATCTCTGCCTTGTCTCTATGCAACTGTTAAATGATTTCCAGACATCTCGGTCTGATTTTGCTTTTGTTGGTTTTTGAAACTGCAGCAGCAATGAAAATTTTGATGTAAATTTCTGAGCTTTCTCAATTGGTAAAGTAACAGATGGCCTTTTATGCATTCCTCATATACAGCACTGTGCAAAAGTCTTGGGCAATCATAGAAAATGATGCTTAAAAGATCTTCATGTTGGTGCAAAACTCTCCCATTATATCTATCAAAGTATGTTAGCGTAACCATTTCAAAACCTCTCCTGAAGTCACACCAGTCTTTGCAGCAACTGTCCACTACTGTATATTTTTAACTTGACCACTAGCACACCATAAACAATTTAAATTAATTGTGAGCTTGTGATAAAACAGATACATGGAATGGCTGGGGTGCCGGTGAGGAGAAATTTGGGAACTGAATCAGCGTTCTTCTAGGCAGCCTGCTGGATACCAGTAACTTTTTGAAGAAAAAAAGAAATTACTGTTTAGCTTTTATTGCGTTACTCTTAATATGTATATATTCTTATGCTAAACTGTGTTTTTTGTTCTGGGCAAATATATATTTACTACCCAGATAAATAACTGTAAACATTTCCTTTGACTGCCTAAGACTTGCACAGTACTATAAGTGAATAAGGAATTTGTTCCTCCTGTTCTTGTTCCTGCCTTATTCAGTTTTGCTTTGCCTTTTTTATATTTTATTAGACATAGCAGTACCTGCCAACCTGGTATGTGGACTTCATGAAGTTTGAATTTAGAAAACAATGGAGGCATCTCAGAAAATTATGCATATGCCGACTCTAAACATAATGTTTTGTCTTGCTCTACTTATCTGATTTTTGGTTATATTTTAACAAAAATGCCAATATATCATTTTGATGCAATAAAGTAATATCATTGTAAACCAGTTTTTTAATTAACCGATTAAATGGTATTGTGCTTACAAGCATGCAAATTGTGTATTAAATACTATGTACATATTTAAGTGATGATAGACAATTATTTTACTACCTTTTAATACCAATAAGAATTCATACCTGTATTGTATGCTAAAATGTCAAATGGAATTATAATTGTTACCTATGATGTGTGGTTTATTGTATTCCCCAGACTTGGTCTAAATTCATTTCTCTATTTTGACAGCCAAAAAAAACAGACTCTACGCCAGCACAAGGTGCAAAAAGGTTGTGCCAACTCTCTTAATTATTCAGAGGCGTGCTTTGGGCATAACATGTAATGCACCAATCGTAATGGCGCATCACCTCACCTTTACAGTTTTTTTTCAGTCGTCTGGTACATTTCTCAAATCATCCTTAACATTTACAAAATGTCCATTTCTCTAAATAATTCATACAAAAGCACCACGTAAAGGATTACCTGTGTGTAACACTCTCAAAATCCTTAGTTTATCCCACAAGTAAGTATTTAGTAGAGATGGGAGAAGAATTGATTCCGTTATGTATCACAATTGTTTTGTGTAACAATTCATATATCGCCATACTGATTGCAAAATTGATTTTCTATTAATTTATATATGTTTGAACTCATTCTTGGGTATGACATTAAACTGCATCTGGCCCTGCAAGCTAAACTTGCAGGGAAACAATTTTTGGGGATTGGTGGCGGGATTGGCACTCCAGCCACCATAAAACAACTCACAACTGCTCGAGTCAAACAAGTAAGATACTCTTCTACTCTCTGCTCTGCTGCTCACGCACCATGAAGGGGATGGGGGAAACCCTTCAGGAACCTCATGATGAGTCAAAAGTCAGAGAGCTAATAGTGTCAGGCCTGTTGGGGATCGGAGATGGTGTGGTGCTGAGGCATCGCCTGCTGCATGGCGGCACTTGGAACCCAGTTTGAGGTGGCCCATCCGGGTAGGTGCATGGAACATCTGTCTCTCCGGCAAGATGACCGTCTTCCTTTGCTATTGGGAAGAGTGTATCGACCTTGTCAAGAGATTTACCTACCTTGGCAGCAACATTCATGTCTCTGGTGACTCTTCCTATGAAGTCAGCAGACAGATTGGAAGAGCATGGGGGGTCATGAGGCTGCTGGAAAGGGGTGTGTGCTGCTCCTGATATCTTTGCAAGAGGACGAAGGTCGAAGTCTTTAAAGTCCTGGTGCTCCCTGCCTTGCTGTGTGGCTGTGAGACATGGACGTTATCCAGTGAGCTGAGATGAAGACTGGACTCCTTCGGTACTGTGTCTCTTAGGAGAATCCTTGGATACCGCTGGGTTGACTTCGTATCGAATGAGCGGTTGCTAGAGGAGTCCCGAATGAGGCACAATACCTGCATTGTAAGGGAGCGTCAGTTACAGCACTATGGCCATGTGGTGTGTTTCCCTGATGGTGTTCCGGCTCGCAGGATTCTCATTGCTGAGGACCCAAGTGACTGGACCAGGCCAAGTTGACTCCCACATAACACCTGGCTGCGGCAGATGGATGGCCATTTCCGGAGGGTGGGACTGGACTGTGTGTCTGCCTGGGGGATCGCTGGCCGGGATCCCGAGGAGTTTCGCCGTGTGGTGGGTGCTGCAACTCGTCGCATCAGCACATTCTCCCCGACCTGACCTGGACTCATTCTATAATTAGGGGTACATGTTGTGACAGCGCAGCATGTCTGTCCCTGTAAATCAGCGGTTTCTCTGCTGATTATGAACAGAAGATGTTTGGGCATGCTTTGGTTTATTATAACTTACTGATGTTTGTGGCGGTTTGCTGGTGTTGGTCTTCCGGGTGTGTTCCAGGAAACCGCAATGCAGGTCAGGAAGTTTTTTTTTTTCCCCCCCCCCCCCCTCCTTTGTTTTTTAACCCCTGTCGTGTCCATCAGTTTAGCAAGCAGGATATTAGTCTGGGTGCTTTATTGTGCCAACACTTTTATTTTGCCAAGTGGAGCTTTGGATTAAGCTCCTCTTGTTACTTGAGATATACTATTGCGCTAGATTATTGCGCTAGATTATTGCGCTATTAAGCTGGAGCCGACAGGGAAAGTTAACTGAAATAGGAGAGATAAAGAGAGGAAGAGAGGAGGGAGAGAAAGAGAAGAGCGACAGAAGAAAGAAGAAGAAAAAAGAAAAAAAGGGGGGGTCAGATGGAGAGAGAAAAACAGAAAGAAAAATAATACATGACAACTTAAAAAAAGTAGAGCAAAAGGAAAGAGTAACAAAAGGACAGCTTCTGCATCTTAGTACTGGACATTGTATCATCACACCAGTTGCTGTATCTGAAAAACAAGATCCAGGTGCATACACAAAAAGTATACATACAAAGAAACCAATGGTATCATTATGACAGAGAATAAGCTTGTGCCAGTATCTGCTTCTGGAATTAAATACATTAATACCAAAGAAAAAAATACATAAGCAGACCAACAGGAACATGGTCTGGATATCGCTGCACCAGTATCTGCATCTGAGAAGAAAGGATGGAAGCCACACACACACACACACACCCAGACAAAAAGGAGAGAGAGTGTGTATGCGTGCGTGTGTATGTATGTATGTGTGTGCGCATGTGTGTAGGTTTGTATGTATGCTATGAGTGTATGTATGAGTGTGCATGTTAACATGGAATGATTCCCAATGAGTGTACAACACCACAACAACGCTGCCCCGGGCCCCCCAGACAGCCAGGAGAGCCCCGAGCGATCATGAACCCAGCCGCCCCACAGCGGCCAGGTACCCAGGCTTCCCGTCCTTGCGCATCCGCCCAAGGAGGCAGAGGGGGGAGGCACCGGGCGCCCCCCAACGGCGAGCATGAGCCTGGAGCCCCACGGCCGCAGGCAGCAGCGTGCCGGTTCCTCCCCAGGGGCCGGCCGTGCAGGCACGGATAGAGCCCGGAGCCCGGTTCACCCGTGCACCCCGCGGGGGCCCCGCCAGCCCTGGGGAGACCTGCCCCCCCCCCCCCACCCCCCCCCCCCCCCCCCCCCCCCCCCCCGCCCCCCCCCCCCCCCCCCCCCCCACCCCCCCCCCCCCCCCCCCC